TGCCTATAGACATCCGCAATTGCAGATGCGTTGCCTATCCTCAATCGACGGAGGAGACGCACAAAAAGAGGATATATCCCACGCGTCTTCTCCGCCGTCAAATTCAATTTCCCTTCCTTTCCTCTTAAGGAAAGGGTGGAAAGGAAAAGTGACTTAAATTAGGCCTCCTATACTAATATATACGTCTTTTAAAGTTCTTATGTATATATCTTTTCGAATATCTTAGCTGCTCAAGATCAGATGCATGATGCTCTTACCCTTTCTACCACTCCCATTTACGCAACCAATACTGTGTTGTTCCGAAGCAATTCATTCAATATTCCAAGCCAACACGACATGACACCTCTGTACATGATTTCAAAGACGATAAACACAGAGAAGACTTTCTACTATTACTGTCATCATCATCTCCCGTACCTTATACAACTGCCGTAGTGTCGACACACCGGGTTTTCGATATCACTCCCTTCTCGATCATGTCACCTTTCACGCAACCCATCCATCTCTTTCTAGGTCTACCTCTACACTACTCTTGCTGTATAAGAATTAAATTAAAAACTTAGTATCTAATACCTCTTGCATCATTGTGATAAATTCAGAAAATGCCCAATTCAATTGACTGAGCAAGGAATTGAGAAAGGAAGCGGCCTCTTTAGGATTCGCTTCGAGGTAATCTCTGATTCGACCTTGAATAACTTCTGATGGACAGGGACCTACAAATAATACCTGTTTTAACTGCATTTTTCACCAATCACTTGTAGTTATTATTAATTATTTGTTTTCATTGGTAAATTTTAAGAAACTTACCGAAACATTGACTCATCAGACCAGCATCTACTTTAGCACCCATGTTGTTAACAGTTGGTTCTCTATCACCAAACCTGTTTACAAAATTTGTTAAAATATTAGTTACTAATATTATAAATGCAACAGTTTGGATGGATGTTTGTTAAAGTTTGTAGCCTAAACTGCTGAAAGGATCTAGATAAATTTTGGTAAAGAGGTATAGGATAGTCTGGACGAACCCGTGGGCTACCTAATATTGTTTTTTTTTTAATTCCACGATGACATTCAAGGCACAGAGGTGTGAGATAGAATCTGCTAATATCTTTTTTATTACTTTATCTACTATGTTATGAAATGGCCTTTAATCTAAGTAAACTTTAAAATAAATGGTTTCTATATATTTTATCTTATTTAATGAATCATACTTGGCAGCGAGATGCGGCCACTGTCGGTGTCGGAAGCCGAAGCCGGAGCCGTGCCAAAAGCGAACCAGCACCCAGTTGGACTGCGCCCACGCGCGGTTCTGGTACGGACGTACCAGCTCCTCCACCATGCACATCTGTCTATGACGTAATACAACATTTATACTATCTATCTGTACTAATTTCTAAACTATACTTAGTTATGTAGGTTGTCGGGAATCACAGTATATTTTCGAATAATAGTTGTTTTCAATATAAATCCACTTACGGCACGCTTTAGCCTATATATTTTCACGCTATTAAAATTAGGGAGTGAACAATTTGGAACAAATCGTCAAGCGGGAATGGCACAAAAACAACAGGTTGACAACATCAAGGAAGCAAGGTTGCCATGGAAACGATAATTGTTATCCAATGTCAAACACCATCGTTGTCATTTGTGCATTTAAATTTTGTCACTTTCAATTGAAAATTTCACAAATGTAAACAATAAATTAACATTATCCTCGTCTTACAGATAAAACACGACAGTCAAAAGCGGAAAATCGAAACATATCAAACATATTATTGCTCTCATCATTGTGTGCAGTCAAGGACAATAATTTCCTACCCAAGTATGTCAAATGTCACTTGACTCGTGGCCAAATACTGAAACGATTGTTTATGGAATTTGGAGTTTAAAAAAAATAAAAACCTTTTATTGTTGTCAGAAAAAATGCAATAAAAAGACAATTTTTTATGAGCTAACTAAAAATATAAACCGAAAACAAATTTTCGGCAAAATTAATGTAAAACGATAGCTCTTGTAAGTTTCCGTTGCAATAATCTAAGTGGAAAGCGTATATAACTCAATACATATTCACTTACTGTTTGACTGGGACCTTTTCAATGGCCCTCATAGTGGAAGGCTGTGTAGCAAAGGACGCCAGTGTCTGTACGAGCGACTCGCGCGTGCTGGCGAGCACGATGCGCTGGTCCGCGAACTCCGCGCAGAGGAACGCAGCGCAGGACACCATCATGTCCTCCCATTCTGTATTACATCGAAATACGAATTACTTCCACTTCACGCCTGTCTTATGTGTGACCGCGGTATTGTCAGACCATCGCCAAATGAAAGTGGTCTCTGCCTATCCCTTTCGTTCTTGAATTCTGACGCTGTGGCTGGCATGAACGTTATGACTGGATTTGTACTAAGTTTGGATTCGTCAGCCATCTTCGATGTAAAAAGACCTCCGACGGTTGTCACGCCATGGAATGTAGTTAACTAAATCCTATAAAACTGCGGTACTAAAATTACTTTTCTTTTGCAAAATATCTTAGTAAACAGTTCTTTATATAGATATAGTGTTTAACTTACCGACAATCTCATTAATGGATATAGTGGGATGCATGTACAGTCTTAGTGTGTTGCACAATTCCAACATGGCGTCAACATGGTACTCCGGCACGAACGCAAATAAAGATTCAGCAAAACCACGCGGACCTTCGTCTGAAAAAACAAGTCAAAAGTAAAAGTAAACATACAGACAAATACTGAAACGAAAATCTGAAATACTTTGCCTTTTAAGTAACGCTTACAATGTGATAGACGTAAAGCAATTGCGAGAAATTTTTAAATTTAAGTGTAGCCTTATTATTAACGTCGTTGTTACATATTTAAATAACGTTTCAATATTCGGCTCAAGTTATGTTTCAGTTTGAAAAAGTAATTACTAACGTGTAGTAACACTATTTATTTGCGCCTGAGAAGCTTGTCGTGGGGTCGGAACTCTTGAGGTCTGGCTTTGTGGACTGTAAAAGAAAAAAAAATAATCAGACTGGTTACATCGGTTTTATACTTATTCCTCTAAGACTACTACCACTAAGGGATAGTAAAATGCTAAAACATTTAAACAATATTTAACAACTCTGAGTACCTCTGATCGGAACTTGACGTATACTCCAATTGTAGTGACGCATAACTAGAGTTACCAAGTAGAGAACTCTTTCCTGGTAAAATTTCCTTACTTGCTACCTAAAAAAAAGATTGAAACCTTACTACTAACATATGAAGTACTAAAGAGAACTTTATCTTAGATTTATCTACGGTCCCAATAATTTTCAATCTTGAACCATTTTACCTTATCCGCAGTTTAATCAATCGATCGCACATAACAATCGAATAAACAAAAAAGGACAATCGTAAAAGTTCCTTTCGTACATATTTCGGATCGATCTAAAGATGTAATATTGAGTTCGGGTTCATCATAACCTCAATATGATGTGCGTAATCAGGATCCGAGGAGAGTCGGAGCGAGTGCAGAGTTCCAGCGAAATGTATCGCCAATTCTTGCTGACGGCGCTTCGTCCATATCGCTCCGATCACCCACGCCATTTGCAACGCGCCAGACATTAGCTTCTCCTAAAATAATATGACAACAGAAGTACTTTTTACTAATATTATAAAGTTGCTATTGTCCACGATTAACTTAATTATTTATTTATTTTATTTAATACTTCAGCACATATCATACAACAAAGCTAATTGGTTGCATATATGTGTATATTTCAGTGAAATCCGTTCAACCGTTATGGATTAATGCAGTACTAGGTTTCGTCCGCGACTCTCTCCGCGTGAAATAAAAAAACAAAAGCAAGTAACCTATGTGTTGTTTCAGACTATGCTCTAAATTTATGCCAAATTTCAACTAGATCCGTTCAGCCTTTTACCCTACAAACTCTAACAAACATCCATCCATGTAAACTTTCGCATTTATAATATTAAACTAAGATGTTTACCTCATAAACTGATTTAGATCTCTCCAGTTCTTTGAGCATTCTTTCCATCAGTTGTTTTTGTATTTTATCACTCTCTGACAACTCTATTTTCGAACCTGTAAGCAATTTTGTGTACAGTGGAGAACCACGGTTACTTTTACTTCGTACAATTTTGACAACATACCAACACCGGTTTGTAATTCCGTAGCCACTGTGGTTATGCGCTGTTCGATGTCGTGTAGACAGTCAGCTAAGTCTAGTTGACTATCTCGGAGCTCGCAAAGCTTAAAATCAATACAAAATGAACGATATTACGTTGCCGCTAGAGAGATTAAAAATATACATAGAGTTTCCAATAGTGGAAAAAGAGCAGGCAGCCACCTAAATCCGCCGAAATGTCGAAGCGACCGCTGCCCACACATCTGCAATTGCAGATGCGTAGTGCAGGGGCAGGCTTACCTTCTCAGCATGCTTTATACCAGCACCATGATACAATGCTAGAAGACCATCCAGCAGTCGTAGATATGCTGACCGTACATCAATAGCACCGGCTCCAGGCATCATTGATCTTGTTCCTTTCAAAGCCAATGCAGTCTCACCCGTCGTTCTATAAAAAATCTCTCTTGTTTGTTACTACGGAATCTGTGTATCTAATCTCTCGTCTCTTTCATTTTCTTTCAATAAGACAAAGATAATATGATAATAAATACAGTAATTTTGTCCTAGGAAAATGAATAAAGTAAATATGTAATTAAAATCCGACTCTAAGATCCAAAAAAGAAGACCACTGCTATTAATAGTTATAATTGAAAATAATAGCACGAGGATAATTATACCAGACATATGAAATCACCTGTTTGGCATTGGCGGCATCGCGGCATGCATGAACCTGGCCATAGAGGATATTACTTGCGGTAACGTTGCTAGAGCGGGAGATCCTGCAGCCATCTCGCTCACTCCTATTAAAACATATGATTTTTAAATATACCTAATTACCTATCTAAAGTTTTACTGCTCTATGATATTTTTATCTATAGAATAAAGATTTAAATATCGAGATTGTTTACTTAATATGGATTACTTTTGTATGAATTTTATTAGAAATAAAAAGGGATAAACAAATAAGGATAATAAAAAGGATATACCGGCATCTATCCCTCCCGCGCGATTGTAATTCGGCTCAAAACTTTGTATAAATGGATTATCCTCACCCAAAACATCGATGAGATCTTGTCTGTAAACATTTTTTTAGGTTATTTCATTCGTAATACATTTTCTGCTAAAATTATACGTAATTTGTTACCTTAGCGTCCTCACTAAAAACGGTAAAACACCACCAAGTCGATCGACATTATAAAAATCTAATTCACCATCAATGAAAGATTTTGGCGGCAAATGAGGAGGTCCTGTCCTAGAAGTCACAAAAAGGCGCAAATTATTCTAGAACAATCTAAATTATTAAAACTATATATTACAAAACATACAAATTTCCAAGTGGATTCTCCTTATTCCACATCGTAAGAACTGCTGTGAGGAGTCTAGCGTGGCAACACCATGAGATGGCGGGAGAGTTGCGAGACACGTTGAAAAGTCTCTGTATTTTAATTAAAACACTTTAAAATCTACAACTATACTAATATTATAAAGGGGAAAGATTTTCATTTGTAAGTATCGAAATAACTCAAACAGTACTGGGCTGATTTAAAAAATTCTTTCATTTTTTCTTTATTTTTTAATTTCTAGCGAGCAATAGCTAGTTATTTATAACATCATAAAAAACATTAAAAAATATCATCGCCATGACATCAAAAGCCATTAAATTACATACTCAAATAGATGAATTAAAAAAAAATCCTATAACTAGCGAAAAGTTAATATAATAGGCAATCAGATCTATTCTCTTTCAATGTTATAAAATTAAAAATGTTACCATATCTAAGATACAATTATCCATAATGTATCGTCGAAACTTTTCCAAGAATATTTTCCTCGTTGACGGCACTACGTTGGAACCGTCGGAATTATCCAATAGAATTAGAACAAATTCCAGCTGCAAATTAAAATTTAGAGATTTTTAAAATTAGAATATAAGTTTTGAATTTCATTCTCTTTTGTAAAAATCTTTTTATTCTTAATTTTCGTTATAAGATCTATTTTAAATCCTTTATATTTTCCGCGCGCTTTTTCCTTCTTGCTTGTATCGTTTTTAACAATACCTGAATATTTTCTAGCGGCCGTATGGCTTCAGTTATTTTCGCACAGTCCTCTTTGTAGCGTGTTTCTACAGCTATGTCATCTACTGTTGTTGGATTGAATTCTTTATCTAGACAAATAGTACATTTTAAGAATTTACTATCAGTTGTAATAATTTAAAACTAATAATGTAATACTAGTTTTCGCCCCCGATTTCGTCGGCGTGGAATCAAGAAATAATAATAAGACTTATTCCAGACTACGCTCTACATCTAAGCCAAATTTCATTAAGATTCGTTTAGGAGTCCCACAAACTCTAATAAACATCCATCCATCTAAACGTTCAATTCTATGCTAATATTATAAACAGGAAAGATTTGTATTTCTGTATAGTTATATTGAAATAACTCAAAAATTACTGGGCTGGACTTTAAAAATTCTTTCGCCGTAAGTAATCTGTATGTGTTTTTTTACCACGCTGACAACGTCGCGAGCAACTTCTAGTTTATAATATTAGTAAGATTTATTTACCGGCTATAATGGGATCAGTTTCCCCTTTGACAGACGTTGGTCGCTGCCACCACGGCTTTTGTATGACAGTTCGCAACACGCTCTCATCCGGACATTTCACGTTGAGGAAATTGTCAAATCTGTAACATTTAATTCAATCTTTTGTAATAACAATAGTTAATATAAACTTAGTAGGACTTTTAAAGTAGGTTACGCACATTCGTCAGACGACATGCGGAATTAATTCTACTTGATGTCCGTATTCTGTACATTAAGCCGCTTTATAACGTTAATGGTTCCGCGTTATAAGAATTTGCGTTGTGGAAATCCCCCATATAACACGATATACTACAGCGCAGAGTCTATATCACATTTTAGTTTTAAAAATTTGTTCGGAATAATCGCGTTATAGGGAATCGTATCCGCGTTATACAGGGGTACGGTATTCGCGTTATAGGGGTTACATAGCAGTACAACAATTAATGAGAGAACCCACCACTGTTAAAAGTTATACTTTTAAAACTTACAATGATACTAACGTTATTTTATTGAAGAACACGTATTTGACGAGATGGTGTCTCGTCTCACGATGCTGCATCAGACCACAGAGCACGTACACACCTTCTATTTGTTGTTTAAACTGCATATCCTGCAAACATCGCTTAACTATAATGCTTAGTACACATTTCGCCAGTACATAGGATTTTCCCATGTGGACAGGGATTCAACTGGCATAATGTGAACACTAACTGGTCTGAATCCATACAATCCATGCCATCTACTACTACTACTATTGTTACTACTACTATTACTGCACTACTACTACTACTACTACTACTGTCCAACTGTACATTATAAATGCGAAACTTAAGATGGATGTATGTTTCTTAGAGTTTGTAGCATTAACTGATGAACGGATCTCGATTAAATTTGGCATAGATATAGAGGATAGTCTGGAAGAGCACATAGGTTACTTGCTTTTTAAACTCCATTCAATTTATATGATACAATTTTCTTCGTTTGTTTGTGACAGTTCGTAACATAAATAACTTAATATTCTTACCCAATATGTTAGACTAGTTCTATGTAATTAATTACTGTTCATATTAATTACTAGATGTGACTTTACCGGCGATACAGAATCGAAGAGCAAGCACTCTCTTACAATACAATGTTCGAATATATCACAGAGTGCGGATTCATCTAGAAACGTCCATAGCAAGTCCAATAGTATGCAGAGTTTTGGATGAGGCTGTGTCAGCATTTTCTCTGATAGATCTTCCTATGAACAAATATAACGTGTTAAAAACGTTCGAAATTCAAAAACCTTACCACTTATAAAGTAGGCGCTGTGACTAAAAAATCGCACAACTGTTGTGCGATTGTCGATTGTTTCGCATTCAACTGTTTAGTTGCACAACAATAATTCGAGTAGTATGCCCACCTCTATATAAGATTATAGGAATTAAAGCAAAACTTAATAGTAGTGCGATAGTTTTGTTAAATGTGTGTGCTCGTCTTATAGAACCAAAAAAACATTCTAAAATCAAAGCGGTTTACATGGCTATAAAAATTAAAAATAACCGTATAAAATTCAAAGATAGTATTCTTAAAACCGCTCCAATTCAAGCAGTTTAACAACATTTGAGATAAGTTAGTGCCAAAAACTGTTTGGCACAAAATGTACCATTAACTGACTGAATTACCGCGGCACAGCCTGCTAGTGCTACCTTGTTGGCACGTGCTAACTTGGCAAATAACAACAATAACTATCGTACAAGGTCAAAACCGCACATTGTCAATAATTATGCTTGTTTCCGCCTGTTTGCTCCCTTCTCTTAAAAGAAAAGTAAAATAAAACATCACTCTTCGGTTATCTTCTTCACTTATCATTTTACCCAAACATTAATATCAATCTTCGTTGTTCAAAGATTTAGGATAGCAATAGCTGTTGACAAGCATTGTGTCCAAACAAGCGTCCTACACTAAAAGCCCTCATTCACACGGGCGTTTTTTTTTAACGCTCGGCATTAACACGCTTTAAAATCGCACTTGTCATTTACCGAGAGTACAAACTGCCACAACATTGGGCTACGAAAGAGTCGCGTTTTAAAATCGCTACCATACGAAAATACGCTTACATCTTTCACGACAATATGTTATATTTGAACGAGTTTTTACCATGCAATAAATATAGTGATACTTACATAAGCCTTGGCCTTAATATTTATATAAAATTCCGATGTTTGTGGATCCAAATTAATACTCCTCGACCTCAAGCCGAGAGAACCGCGGAAACGGGTGAGCAGCTCTCCGATCACAACGTAGGACATCTTTAAACATCCTCCCAGTTCTATCACCACCAATCTTGCTAACGACATTAAGAAAGCCTGCAAAAAAAAAATTAAAGCCATTCGTGGCCTCTATAAATGGACAGGCTGACGGTAATAGTAACAGTAATAATTCAACCTAATAATAAAGATAGAATTATTTTATTTTAAAAAATAATGTGGCAAACGAGTAAGCGTCCATCTGAATCTACCAAAATGGCGAAGCGACCGCTATCCAGACATCCGCAATTGCAGATGCTTTGCCTACCCTAAATCGAGGAGGAGACGCACATAAGGAGGATATTTCTCCTTCCTATGCATCTAACTGTCAAATCCACTTTTCCATCCAATCCTTTCCTTATAAGAATAGTGTGGAGCGGGAAAGGGACTAAAATTGGGCCACCGGCACCATACTCATCAGACAAAACGCGGAATTGCTCTCACTTGACGCCTGTCTTCTGTGTGGTCGTGGTATTACACCGGGCGAGCCGGCCCTACAGTGCGAAGATGTTAAAGCTGGCTCTACCACTGTAAATACTCCTTACTATTTGTCCCACTTAACTGTAACTAACATCAACAGACGCGTTAAAATAATTTAATGAAAAAAATGTAACGTGGACAGTTACGCTCTGGTTATTATTTTGTTGAGTAAACTATATTTACAAAGCGCCAGTAGCCTAATGGTTTATTGTACGGACTACAGTTATTGCAGTCGAGGGTTCGTATTCCGAATGAATCCCATTCGACTATCGTAAAACATATCCTAGCACAAGCCTAGAGCTTAATATGAATGGTAAAAGGAAATATTAGTAAAGTAACAAAATTCTACGTTAACATTTAAAAAAAAAAACACGTATTGCTTTGTATTTTTTTACCTTCCTAGACATCCTTTTAACTTCAGTTCCTTGTGCTTCTAGCACATTCGTCGGCGATCCGAGCGGAGTATATACGGAATTGGAACTGTCTATGCGGACCGCAACCTCTTCTTCTGTTACTTTTGATGTTTCTGACTTTGCCTACGAGAAAATACAAAACTGATATAATCTAATATTGCAATATAAAACCTCTTTAGTCTTAAAAATTAGGATAATTTTTAAATAGGCCTTTGGTGTAGTTACAGGAGTTGCTACTGATAAAGAAATAAAGTCTAATAGTAAACAAAAATGAAGAGCACAGTTTAGAGCGTGGGCGCACCTTTGACTGTTTAGTCTCGCTTTGTTACCTATGAGCTTATATGGAGGTGGGCACACTACTCGATATTTAGTTGTGCAACTAAACTGTTGAATGGCCTGCAAAACAATCGACAATCATACAACAGTTGTGCGATAGTTAGTCAAAGGTGTACGATCGCTTTAACATTCCCTATTGAATAACAAACCCAAACCGTTAGACGATGTTTATGTTAATTTAAAAATAGATAGACCTTGCTGGACTTTTTATCAACAGTCTTGAAAGCGGAGAGTTGAATTAATTCATCTATTATAGTATCGAGTGATTTGAAGAGGAGAGTCGCTCGCGCGCATTCTCTAGTCGGAGGCGCTTGTAATGGTGCGAAGCCTTCGACTGGAAAACTGTACGAGAAATTAACTAGTTAATAATTTCATTAAATACCAGTTGTTACTCGCGACTTCGTCCACGTGAAAATGAAAAATAATAAAATACAAAGCCTATATTATTGAGTTACGTAGTTTTTTAATGTTGAAAGAATTTTTGAAATCGGTCTAGTAGTTTTTGAGTTATTTCAATATATACAAAAATAGAAATCTTTTCACTTTATAGTATTAGTATAGATTTGAAACCTATTTAGGTTTAAGAACCTACGGAGGCCGACACCACCGCTGTATCACTTATGGTATAAAATAAATAAATAAAAAAAAATAAAGAGCCTTTTATTCCATGCCATAGTTTACAAAAGTTTAAAAAAAAAGGATGGTACATGTCTAATTATTGTCATTTATAGATTATTACATACATATATATTAGATTAGAAAAATTAATTCGGTCATATAATGTTAAACCTATTTCAATAAATAATCAAAAATGTCCTAAATAGTATTTTTTTTCTATAAATTATTAATCTAAATTATATTCAATTTTTTTTTTAAATCTAGATGTCATATCTTTTGCATGGACCCCTCTCAGGTAAAGGCCTCTTCCAAATCACTTATGGTATAATACCATAATACTGCACAAAAAAATTGGCTAGTTTACCAAAACCCATTTCGGTTACTATACTTTGAAATACATTTAATTTTACAGTACTTCCTACGATCGGCTATTATTTTGTCTTAATAAACTTATTTTATGTTTTGTAAAGTATGATATTTACTTACACAAAAGGCACATGTCCAAAGTTTGCATAAAGGTGTTCCTGCATTGCGAGAGAAACAGCCGGGAAGTAAGCCACCCCCGTGCCGTGAGACACGTTGTCAAATGCAACGCCCATAGTCACGCCGTTCCTAAAAAAACTTATAGCGTATAACCGAATTCAATTACGTCTACTTTAAGAAACCTAAGCTACGACTTGACCATATTTATTAAAATACATACCGAAATAAATTCGCCAAAATAACAAACCAACCGCTGCCCATAGATATCCGCATTTCCAGATGCGTTTCCTATCTTCAATCGACGGAGGGGACAGAAAGAGTATATTTTTCCTTTCTATGTGTCTCCGTTCCTTCAAATCCACTTCCCCTTTTAAGAATAGGGGGAAATGGTAATAGGAATAAAATTAGGAGTCCTGCACACCACCAGATAATAGGTCTAGATTGACACATTCTTATAGCCTGTAGGGTAATCTTTCGTTTTTACATCTGCGATATATTACACTACACATACCTATAAAACTCTAAAGTTCCCTTATCTAGATCGAGACAGGATCCGATGACGTCACCGGGCAGCCATGACTGCCCGTATGGTGAAGTAGCCACATTCCATCGTCGCACCCTGCCACCGTCATACGCGTAGGAATTGACCGTATCACCAACACCGGTGTCCATTGAAAATGTGCAACCAGCGGTACACCAACCGATCTGAGAAACATGCTAAAGTTCCCAAAATAACCTCTCTTTTGTCCACCACACTCAATAAATAAGTTGTATTAAACTCCCTAAGTGAAGGCATATTAGTAACCAAACGAAAATTTCCTTTTTTATGGAGTTACAAACTTATAACGCTCATAGGACCTCTTTGGTGTTACGGGAAAGGTTTTACGCTACCAAATAGGTCCAACTGGCCAGTAGCGCGACACCGCACCATTTAGAGAAAAATGTGAAACAAATGAACAAAGATTGTGAATGTAAGGAGTAAAAGGTTAGCATGGTATGGAAATGTTATGGGGAGGGATGAATCGCATGTAACAAAGAGAACGTTAGTTATGAGTGTGGTACACCGGTAGAGGTAGACCTAGAAAGAGATGGATGGATTGCGTGAAAGGTGACACGATCTAGAAGGGACTGAGATGACGTATGATAGAGTTATGTGGAGGACAGAAACCTGTTGTGCCGACCCTACGGGAGTAGGATAGGGAGGAAGATGATGATTGTAAAAAACTGATGAAAATCAACATGGTTTTATTTATATTAATTTATAAAATTAATTGGTCCTCCAAAGTAGTGGTTGTAGAAAAACTTTCCTTACAGCTACACTCTTTGTTTTTATTTTTAAATCGAGACAGTACAGAAATCTTTATTCACCTGCATAATTCCTTTAGTGCCAAGTTGAGCTTCATACATCCATCTACCTGAATATACACAGGCAGTCCCTCTGATGGTAGCGAAACTTGACAGACCTTGCACGCTAACCCTTTCGTCACCAACCAGCACTAAACGCCCAGTACCTTACAATTATACTGATATTATAAACACGAAATTTAGATGGATATTTGTTATAATTTATAGCTTAAACTGCTAAACGGATCATAGATGTTGAAGATAGTTTGTAAGAACATATAGGCTACTTGTTTTGTTATTTTTATATTCCACGCGGACGGAGTCTCGTGTGTAAGCTAGTTATTCATATTTAATGACGTTGATAAACACAAGAATTAGTATAATTTAAACAAAAAATATTTATAGATTTATTTACCAGTGGATGCATCGAAGACAACTATTTTAGGTCCAATGCGACCCACTCTATCGTCGACGGACTCGTGTTTCTGCGTAGAAAATATTAAAAATAATTAAATCATAGCAAACTAGATAGTACACAATAGTTTCCCGTTGACAACTAGACTGTTTCTTAAATCTGCAACTCTTTCGTAGCGTATGTGAGTGGTAGAAATAAGTTGAACAAAGTCATTGTAGTTAATATTACTAAGGGTATGTCCCACCATTGGCTGATAGAGGCTCAAATAACTTGAAAATGACGTCACTGTCAGATAAGGAAACAAAATCGCGATATTTCCATCACATATTGTACACGTTGTATTGTTATCAGACAATTTACAATTTGGTGGGACATACCCTTAATAATATAAATGCGAATGTTTATTGAACACATAGGCTACTAAATAAGTGTCATTTTAACGGAGTCGCGGGCGAAAAATATTAATTTACAGAATACTTACATCTGCATAAGCTTGCGCGTGTTTCTTTGCAAATTTCGACTTGTGTGTCATTATTTTCGCATCTAAAACCTTCATTAGATTCTCTCGTATATGGCACAAGTATTTGCTTTTCCTAAGAAAGGTATTTGTAATTAAAACAACACGAGAATATTTTAAAATATAAGCTAAAATCGTGTAGGTAGTTTTATAAAATGTCTTATGGATACTTCGGCTAATTATATAGCGCCTTGCATAATTCAATAGCAACTGTATTTAAATATCTATGTATTAAAGTTTTTATATCAGTGTTGTATTCCCGTAAATACAACTGTGATATTACACTTGTAAAAATTATGCTATCTCTGTTTTTTTTCTAGTAAAATGAGCGAGATGACAATATATGTTTGTACAGATATTTTGTGCAGTGTAAGCCAACGGTAATATTACTGATTTTGTCTATCGGAATTATCTTTCATGACGAGTTCGTTGCCGAATATTCTCCTCACGGTGTCGTGTACCTCCCCCTTCTCTGCGGAGCCACTACACACGCCGAACATAGTACGAAGGACGTTCATTTTGCAGTATCTAAAGACAAATTAAAAATATTCAACTTTTGTAATAAACAGATGGAACAATACGAACTACCCGTAAGCTAAGAAGCATTACACCACTAAGTTAATGAATGTAAATGTAATGTGAAAACAAGTAATGTGTACTTACATAATTTACACAATACTAATTGAAACTAAGTCCAAATATACTCGGTATCGAAGTATCTAATATATAGATTTAAATAAATAATTTAAAATGTTAAAACATCTTACAAGATATCATATTTAAAATTATCACAAGAAATCAGATAACCAAAACCAAAATAAATCGTTGTCAAAATCAGTCAAAATGACAATTAAAAGACAATTTTTTATTCATAATCTGCCATCTTTAAAAAATAATTTACATTTATGGTCATTAAAAACAATATCAAATCACTCTGAATTGGCTAAATAAACTTAAGTGTGAAAGTCAAAAAGGAAAAAAAAATCACACTGAATTATTGTGTGAGTACGAATCACCCAATCTTTAAGACCGATATTTCGTAAAACACAATCTAATAATGATGTATAACCTAACTATAGAAATAACGTAACCATTTGAAAATAACCTTAACTCATCAACAACTGGAAGGAAGCTAATGGTGTTTACCAACAAGAAGCAGTATTACAAACACGACTACGAGTTTAGTACAAATATTGTTTCCTGTACGACAGTAACGGTTTTGTAAACTCATAACTGGTTTATAAACACCGTTGTTACATGTAACCGTTTTTGTTTAACAGTTGTACATAGTTTTCTCTGTTTTTCACAAAAAGATAGAAAGAGATAGCATTGTTTTTGTACGCGTTTTGACAGATGTAATGCTCGGTGATTACACTGATTGTTTACAAAGCTTTAGACGTCTTTTTGTAAACCGTACAATGAAATACAAATCGATTTAACTTATTAAAAATATTAAAACTAGAAAATCTAAATATAACAGTAAAGCCTAGAAACTTCATAAATGATAAAAATTTCCCGTTTCCCTGATGTCGCCTCTACAAGTTGTTAAGCAGCTTTTTACGGATTATCCCAAGTAGAGTACTCTTGTTTGCACGCAGTACTTTATAATGTGTGAGAGGGACTAATCCTTAATACTACCGCATTTATAAAAGTTTTTTATTTTTTATTTTCTTTTTAATCAGTCGATAACACTTTCGTCCAGCCAGATACAGCAATTGACTAATTTCAAAAGCAATAATTATACGTATGTTGTTTAAATCGTATGAAATAAAACCAAAACGTTGTTTATATTTCTCTTTACTTAAGTACAGATTTTTTTTGACATAATTACCACACCTTAATTTAAAAGATATTCTTGATAATCGTATACTAGATTTTATATTTTAATAATCAATACATTACAATGATTTTGTTTCCAGTTTTAAATTAAACAATTTAAAACTGTCTCTAATTATTTAGTTGACACAAACAATTAATAATGTTTGATTCCTCTAGCAAATATCCATAACATTATTTTCAACATTTTATCTAGATTTACAATCCAAAATAAACAGACCATGTAACAATCATATAAAGCTGTAATTACTGGAAGGGTCATTTATGGGCCTTTAAAATTTCCAACAGGTGAATACGCATAGTACGCCGCTACTGGACAGTCACAGTTCCCTCGGGGACCGGGAACACCGCGAGGTCCTATTGGGCCTAAATATAATAAAAAATGTTATATAGTTGTGTTCTTAGTGGAATTAAATTAACGACACAAGGTATTTTAAATAGAATTAGCTTCCTTTTATAAATATGCTAATATTATATAGAGGAAAGATTTATGTTTTTGTATTTTTTAATGTATTAATAACTTAAAAACTACTGAACCCATTTCAATTTTTTTTTACCATTTAAAAGCTACGTTATCACGTTAAAGACTATACTTTGTATTATTTTGTAATTTCACGCGAACAAAGTCGCGAGCAATAGCTAGTAATAACTATTTAAATGTGTTAATCGTTGTAGTTACGCCATCTAGTGTATGTTTAACTTCAACTTTAAATTTAGCTGTAACTGGCTGGATACGTTTAGCGAACTTTTACTAGGAAATTAAAAAAAACTTACCAGGATGTCCAGGATCGCCACGAAGTCCGATTCTACCATCAGGTCCAGGAGGACCTATAGGTCCTAAACATGGAGTAAAATCACTTTTTAAAACAACTCAAAAATGCTTGCAATTTAAAAAATTTAAATCCTCAACTTCATAAAGTAAATACAAAGGACAGCGCCATCTATTGTTATAGTTATTAAATGTTATAATTTCTAGCGCCCTCTTATTTATATAGCCATACCTAGATGGAACACAACCTGAAACTTCGTTCGGTAACTTAAAATGTAATTAAATACCTTGAACACCTCGTGGTCCCTCAGGTCCTGGTACCCCCACCCCCTCCTGTCCTCTCTCCCCTTTATCCCCCTTCTCGCCGCTAGAGCCCGGACTGCCGGGTCGTCCGGGCTCACCAGTTTCCCCTGGGAAACCCCGGGGCCCTTGAATTCCTGGTTCTCCAGGTAATCCTTGGTAAAAAACATTAATATTTTTATTGGAAATAACACAATTAATATATTGCTTTTTGTTTGTTACTTTTAATCTTACAGCAATATTAACTAAAAACATTCTAAAAGAAGTAGTAGTTTTTTGAGGTATTATGTGCAATTTTAAAAACAAAGGAACAAAATACGGACCTGGCAACCCTGGTGTGCCCGCTCTCCCCGGCGGGCCTCTTCTAGATATTATTGTCGGTGTAGATTGAGTCGTCCATCTCTCCGTTAACTCTGCTATACGAACTATGAAAATAAAAAAAATATACAAAATCCGATTATGTTTTAATCATTTTCAAAGTATTGAATCATAAGGTAATTAAATCAATAGATATAAAAATTAAACCCCCCCCCTCCTGACCACCTATCCTAGATATACTGCAGCTCCTATCTATGTCTATACTAATATAAAGAGAAAATATTTTTATTTTTGAATATATTGAAATAACTCAAAAACTATTTTGCCGATTTTAAAAATTCCTTCACCGATAGAAAGGTAATTTATCTATGAGTAAAATATTTGTTATTTTGAATTTTACGCGGACGAAATCGGGAGCAACAGCTAGTAAAATATATTGCGTTATACATACCTCTAATTATATCCTCACATATATTTCTAACCTCCGTTTCTGAAAGTGAGTCTGTCTGAAATTTAAATCACCAAACTTTAGACAAATATTGAACTGTAAAGTTACATTTTCACTGTAGAAACATCTGAATACAAACATTTTGTTATTCTTTACCTTATTCTTAAACACGAAATGATTATGTTAGTGGAAGTTTGAGCCCCAGTGGTAGAGAAGGTAAGGAGTAAAAGGTTAGCATGGTATGGGCATGTTATGAGAAGAGATGAATCGCATGTTACAAGGAGAACGTTAGTTATGAGTGTGGTACACCGGTAGAGGTAGACGTAGAAAGAGATGGATGGATTGCGTGAAAGGTGACATGATCAAGAAGGGAGTGATGACGTATGATAGAGTTATGTGGAAGACAAAGACCTATTGCGTCGTCCCTACGGGAGTAGGATAAGGAGAAAGATAAATAATTTATTAAACAATTAACTTTATTACTACGAACGCTCAGTTTTGAAGTCCGTTATACAATTTTGCTGAAGATAGTTTAAAAAAAACTACATTACCTGAGCAACAA